GTTTATGAATGTTCTGAAAATCTTTATACTTAGAACATAGTAATGTCCTTAGCATACAGTAGGTGACAACTATTAGTCGAGAGAATAAATGGAAAATGAAATAAATTAATTTTCACATATAAAAATTAAATATCTGAAGGATGCATGGTATTGTTGCTTTTTTTATGGGGACCAAATCAGCTTTAAAATAAATGATCAGAGTTAAGATGGATCAAAGAAGTTGAGAAGGATATTATACATGTTCTCCAACTTCATAATAATAGTTCATGAGGGGAAATTATTACCTTGGCTACTCGCAGACTCCTTGAATGGGAAGTAAAGATGATAGAGGAAAAAGTCAAGTAATACCCTTCACCTAGGGCAAACTACTGAGGGAATCACTGTAGTGCAAATGTCTGATCTTATTTCTACTTAGGTAGTGAACCTAGTGGAAGCAGGTAAATGATTTTTTTAACTTTACTGGTTGTAGCATTTGTGTTATGAAAAAAGGCATATGTGAAATCAAAGTCAAATGGAAGTTTTGATTCTGTTTTCAAAATTAAAATAATTATCAGTGCAAGCAGTGCGTGATCTAAGTTCTTTACTATTTGGTTTAAAAGTCAATATAACCTACTTGGTTGATCCTATCATTATATCCAACTATCTCACATTTTTTGAGGGAAGGGGGAACTTGAAACAATTTTTGAAGAAAGGTTTTCAAAAAGTTATGCTATATAATGAGGGGAGGAGGCTAACATTTATTTATTCATTAAAGGGAAATATGCACACACATTATATCAGGTGTAATTTAATTTATTATCTCAACAAGTCTTTGTAAGGTAGATAGCAGTGTCATAAATTTATAGATGACAGAACAGATCTGTGGAGGTTCAGGACTCAAATCCAGTACTCAAAGCATTTGTGCTTTGCACGACCTAATAATACTTTTGCTCTGCAATTTAAAGGGTTAACTTAAAAGGTTAATAAATTATGATTTCTGGACAGTTGTCCAGTATTTTACTGTTCATCTTAACGTTGGAACTATATATTTGTTTAATGTCTAGATTAACCTCCCCAGCATGTGTCAGAAAGTAAGTTAACCTGTTCACTTATTGTGCAGATGACTATGAGTGGTTAGGTATGGTAGTTGTAATTTTAGTTGAGCTCTATCCAACTAAGCACCAATCTATAGTGTTAAGTTAATTCCCTGAGCATCAGAGACTTGAAAGAAAGGGAGGAGTGAGGGAGATAAAGAGGAAGGAGAAAAATTTATTGAATAACCATGTGCTGGATACTGTAGCTAGTGATGGAACCAAGACTTGAACTCTGTTTAATTTCAGCACTTCTGTTCTTTCTACTATGCACCAATGCCCTTTTTACTGCAAATCCTTAAATCATGTTAGTCTACTTCTGGCCAAAGAGTTACATGTTTCCTTTTTCTCCTAATACTATTGGCTTAGTTAACTTGGGTGTTTACAGTACAGTGTTAGTAAGGGTAACAGTGATGGTTACAAAGACTAGGATATTGAATGTGAAAAAATAGTTTCTTAAACCTAGCAAATTATATAGTAAGTTTGTCATTTGTTTCAATGCCCGGGAAAATAGAAGAAAAAAGATGAATGATTCAGCACAAATATATCACCGCTACTAGAAAATAAACTAATCTATGTTAATTATATATTCCTCTTTAAAGGAAGAATTCAATTTAAAGTATATAAAAGAACCATTTAAAGTTAGACATTATTCAAAACATTCTAGTACTTAAAAAAATTAAACAATAGAAATGAATGTTATTCATGAAGCGACAATTATACTTTAATATCTTATAATTAGGTTTGGCATATGCAGACTGTATGTAAATAAATTGCAAACCAAAATAACTTGGTCTTTTTATTACTGTTATTGAATAATAGAGTGACTTAATCTTTTTATAGATTTTTACCTGAGATATATAGTGTCTGTTGCCTTGCCTAAATCTGTAAAAGTAATTTTGAGGTGAAACAACTGCTGTAGGTAAAGTTGCTAAAACTATTCCTATTAACTATCAATACTATTCATGAATAGTTTATATAACATTAGTTGTATTCAACTACTATTGAATGTTTAAGTTATAGTACCTCAAACTGGAAGTGTGATATTATACAAAAAATTTAGACTTTAGAAGCAGATAGGCTCAGTATGTAAATCTGGACTCTCCTTTGACACTCTTTTTTATCTATACTGTAAATTGGTTACTATGTCAGTTATCAATTGCTGCATGTAACAAATTGCCACAAACTAAGGGACTTAAAACAACATATGTTCATTATTTCACAGTTCCTTTTTGTCACGTGTTCAGGCACAGCTTACCTATGTCCTCTGTCTCAGGGTTTTTGATGAAGTTGCAAGTCAAAGTGTTGGCAAGGACTGGTGTCTGCAGCTGACTTGATTGGGGAACAATCTGCTTCTAAGCTCATGGGTTTCTTGCATGCTATTGGACTATAGGTCTCAATTCCTTGACAGTGATAGTTAGAGGCTGCGCTCAGTTCCTTCCTTGTGGGCCACCATTAGCAGTTTGCTTCATGTAAGCCAACCAACGAGAGTCTGCTAACAAGATGGAAGTCAGAATCTTTTGTAATCTAATTATCTCTCAACAATGAGGTATTCTTTTGGTTAGGAGTAAATTTTTCAAGGGGAGGAGATTACAAAAGCGTGTAAATATCAAGGCTAGAATCATTGAAACCATTGGTTTGACCTGCCATAGGGCCAATAGTATCTACTGACAAAATTGTTGTGAGCGAAGATTAAAGGAAATAATACATTTTAAATCCTTTATTTTTGATGACTGTTCTTAAATTACTTTACCAGTTTTTACCTGTTAGTCTTCTGCATAAGAACCAAAGTTACTATTTCTATTATTACTAACACTATTTCCCATTTTTTCCTTGCCATCTAGACTTTTTGGAATGTGTTTGTTCTATTTATAATGACTATCTGCAGCAGCAATTTGATTTGTGTAATTTCATTCCTTTCCAAGACCAACCTCAAATGGTATATTTTCACAAGTTTCTTTGATTTATCCTTCTTTGAACTAGAAGTCATCTCTCTCTTCTGCTCTCCTTTGTAACTTCTATGGCATATACTAGTCTGCTTTGAATTTTTTTCTTACTTAGATATGAGCTCCTCAAGGAGAAGGATTGTGTCTTATCTTTTCTTTAATCCCTTCTGTATTCTGATGTTGTTTTATCATCATCTTTTAAACATTGTATGAATGAGTTAATTTTCTAAGATTTAGTAGTTTAATAATTTGTAGTGATAGTTGTAAGGAATTTTAAATGGTTGTGGTTGTTTTATATGTTGTAATAACCAATATTTCAAGCACCATAGGAAATGAAGTAATTACAAATAGTCTCTGATATACCTAAGGTGATTTTGTTTTAACCACTACTCATTTATTTATTCATTTATTCATCTATTTTTTGTTTTGTTTTTTGTTTTTTTGGTACCGGGGATCGAACTCAGGACCTTGCAGTTACGAGGCAGGCAGCGGCACCGCTGAGCTAAATCCCTGGCCCCCTTCATCTATTTTTAACCGAAAAATATGTAGTAAATGTTTACTGAATGATAATCCCATATATTAAGTACCTGAGATGAAAATCTTTCTAATATATTTTGCATACTTCCCTGTGTTAATAATAATTTATCTTTTTAAAAGTAATCTGAGGTTTTTTCCCGGATTGATGCACAATATTATGAAAATTAGATATTGAGGTATAACACACTTATACACACAATAGGAAAAGTATAAGAATGGTTTGCCTTTACCTCAAGGCGTAATACTTTGGAGATCTAAAACTACTTTTTAGTTTTTGGCCTTTTAAAAAATCTTTGTTTTTCTTTAGTAAGTTTTGTTGTTGTGGTTATTTTCCTTCTTCTAATATGCTGTGAAAAATCAGGCAGCTAAGTATGCTAGTATTCTGAATAAAAAGTAAAAGCATGGGTTCTGAGTGAGGTTTTTGGCTGAAAGTAAAGTGTATTACATAGAACTTCAAATCTGTTGTGATACCTGAATGAAGTTTAAAAATTTCTAGAGTTGGAGTTACCTTATTTGAGTTGCCTTATAAGAGTTAAGTGTTACAGTTAATATGTTTCAACTTTTCAGAAGTTTAGTTTTAATACCATTGGCATTTTCACAGACAGCTGATAAATGCCACTGTACGTAGATCTGCTTTGTCAGAAAAATGATAGGTGCTTCATAAAGTAGCACAGCAATCTCTGGATGTAAATAACCTTAAAGAGCACATTAAGGAATGTGTTGTACAAATAATGAATTTAGATTATGAAGCCAGTTTATTTTTAATTTATTTAAAGGAAGTTAGTTCACTGTATTGTTCTGTTATTTTCAAAGTTCCTTATTTTTAAAATTTTTATTTTTATTAGTAAATATTTGTAGTACATAATTGCATTTATCATGGGGAGTTGATGCACATACATGTACACATCTTAATTCTTTTTACATCCTTTTTCCTTTCCCTTCCTCCCCCTTTCTCCATCTCTGTTCAAAGTTTTTTCTTTAAAAAAGATTTATGTTTCTTCTTCATATTCCTTCTTTTATTATTAAGTAGCTGTCATATTATCTTGCTAACCATTTAGGTCTCTAATTATGTGTTTACTCTTGCAAATATTTATTTTAGACTATACAGAACTATATTAGTCTAATTTAACTACATTAAGTTATTTTGTAATTATGTCCTTTGGCAAATGTTGAGTAATAAATAGTAGATCTGTCCATTTAGGATATTGTTCAGTTAACTTAAATTTTTTTTTGGTTTGTTTTTCTAGGTTAAAAAATGGCCATATTTTAGTAACTAATCAGCCTAATATGAAAATTTTTGTCGTCATTATTTTTTTCATTTTGAGTTGGGAAAATGAATCCACATATAGAAGAAAGTATGAGATGTTGGAAAAAAGTGCCTTATGTTAAACAGTGGAACATGTAATATCTAATTTACAAGAAGTTATAAAGAAATAAAACTGTTATGCTTCGATTTTGGTATAGTATTAACTCTTTAGCACATAGGTAGCCCTCCAAAAAAATCATCCATTTTTCTAAATTATGGAAATTTTGTGGAAGACGTTGACCTGGATTTTGGGCCTTATCATGGCTTCATCGGAATTTCTTAGTGACCACAGACTTTCATACAGTTCTCAAGGTAGGATTCCTGCTTTTGAAACTTCACAAAAAATGTTGTTAATAGTTAGATAAGAAAAGATTCTGAATGTTTAGTTTGGGTGAATACTTCTTTTGGGATATGTTGTATTAGGAACTGAAGCCTACTGTGTCATTTCAAGTTCTGGTTTAATAAATATTAAGGGCTCTAAGAGTCTGTTTAATGTCTAGAGGATTTTGGAGTTGATTGGTTTTTCTTGGAAAATCATAGACCCCAAGTTTCTTCTTCTGAATGCTAAACTTTAATAGACTCATTCATTGCTAGGATTTATGAACAAGGTCATTTAAAAAAATAATCCAAAGGTTTATGATGCAAGAGAAGAAGAAACCAGGTAAGTTCTGATACAGTGTTATGGGCCTTTAATATGGGACTTTTCATAAAAAGTACTTTTCCAAACTTGAGAATTCTGACCTAAGGACTAAAATCTGGGTAAAAGAGTGAGAATTATAGTCAATTTTTCTAATTTTAAAACTTATTAATTTTAATCTATGAAATTGAACTTTATATGATAGAAATTATCTTAACAAAATCCCAGGAGTCAATATTTTGTTTTTCACGGACTAATTTATTGTTTATAGAATTATTGAAGGCATACGTTTTGATTTTCTTTCCATGAATGCATACTAACAATTTTTTGGTGCCAATGAGCCAGATTTTCAAGACTGTTGTAGATTTTTTTTTTAGGTACTAGGGATCAAACTCAGTACCTTGCGCTTGCAAGGTGGGTGTGGTGCCATTGAGCTAAATCTCTGGCCCTAAAACTGCTATAGATTTTATATATTTCTAGAAGTCCATGTGTAAAGAGTGGCTCTGAAAGTAATCAACAAAACCATGGAATTTAGTATGGACTCTTTATCTACAAAAAGTGAAATAAATACTATGTTTCAATTTATTTCTATTTATAAATACTATGTTTCAATTTATTTCTATTCGGTTGTGGTTTCATGGGGGTTTATATTTCTTAGTTAAACCCAATATATAGACAGTGATGCATTGGGTAGACTTTTGGGTTTTTTAAGTTGTAAACCTAACTAAAGAAAGGTATGGCTAAAATGGTGATATTTAGTATATCTGAATGAGGAAAATATGTTTAATAGTTCTCCAAATTTTTAGTATTCTATTGAATACTAAACAGTTTTACTGAGGTATAATACACACACCATACAAATCATCCATTTAAAGTGTACAACTTGATATTTTTATATGTTCAGAGTTATCACTACACATTTTAGAATATTTTCATCTGTCCAAAAAGAAAATCTATACTCATTAACAGCACATCTCAAATTCCTTCCAAGCCACCCTTCAGCCCAACCCATAGGCAACCTCTAAATCTCTGAACTTCTGAATAGAAATTTCTAGAGATTTGCCTTTTCTGGATATTTAATATAAATAGAATCACTTAATATGAGGTCTTTTGTGTTTGGCTTCTCTTAATAAGCACAGTGTTTTTATAATGTTAGAAACTGAGCTTTGATTATGAAGTCAGTTATTGTGAAGTTTCATTCATGTGTCATAGCATTTATCAGTACAATTTTCCTTTTTATTGTAGAATGGTGTTCCATTGTGTGGCAGTACACACTCTGCTTATTTGTTTATCAATTGATAGAAAATTGAGTTATTTCCTCTTTGCTTTTTTTTTTTTTGGTACCGGGGATCGAACTCTGGTCCTTGCACTTATGCAGCAGGCAGCGAAACCACTGAGCTAAATCCCCAGCCCAGTTATTTCCTCTTTGGTTGTTGTGAATAATGCTGGTATGAACATTTACATACAGTTTTTAATGTGGATATGTATTTTCATTTCTTGTGCATATATAATTAGGAGTAGAATTCCTGGATCATATGGTACTTTCATGTTCCACATTTTGAGGAACTGTTAGGCTGCTCTTGAAATTGGCTGTAGCATTTTACATTAACACTGATGATTTTGGTTTTTAAAAATGATTTCTAGATAGCTGTGGAGATTTTATATAAATTCTTTTTTGGATAACTTTAAAAAATAGAATTTATGTGAGCTAAACTCTTTTTTTTACATATATATACTTATTATTGGTTTTTTATTTCCACATAAAATTTTCATACTTCTTATGGAATTTTGCTTCTAGAATCTATGTTTTTAAAGTGGAATTTATAAAAGAAAACCAGTCTTTCACAAGCAATTTAAAAAGAATATTGTTTTGAAGAATGGAATAATTGGGACTTAATCTTTAGTTTTTAAACTTTTACTCTTTCAGTTTTGTTTAATATAAATTTTTTGGTCCATCTCTCACATTTAATGATGCATAGTTTTAACATATTTGACATCATTGTTTATGTTGCTACTTCTCTGTTCTGCTAAATTTTCTTTTCTTCCATGTGCTTTTTTTCTGGATTCTCTGCCTTGTGATTACAAAGAGGAATTCCTGACTTATCTTGAACACTACCAGCTAACTATTCCAATAAGGGTTGATCAAAATGGAGCTTTTCTCAGCTTTACTGTGAAAAATGATAAACATTCAAGGAGAAGACGGAGTATGGACCCTGTCGATCCACAGCAGGCAGTGTCTAAGTTATTTTTTAAACTTTCAGCCTATGGCAAGCACTTTCACCTAAACTTGACTCTCAATACAAATTTTGTGACAAAACATTTTACGGTAGAATATTGGGGGAAAGATGGACCCGAGTGGAAACATGACTTTTTAGACAACTGTCATTACACAGGATACTTGCAAGATCAACGTAGTACAACCAAAGTGGCTTTAAGCAACTGTGTTGGGTTGGTAAGTAGATGTTATAATTTTAAATTTCTGATGAGAAAACAAATTCACAATAAAAATGTCTTTCCTCAGATTAAAAGATACATATTGGTGGTTTAAGTAGAAAGGTAATAGTCTAAAATTGTTATTTCTGCTGCCTTTGGCTTTGATCATCCTTTAAATGTTCATATTGAATTTTCAAAGATTGGCTTTTAAAAGAATTAATAGTAGAGGAACGAATGAAACGTCAGGTTTCATTTTAGACTTACATTTTTCTGTTCTAATAGGATGTTTTAAAAATGCATAAACAAAATCCAGTCATTGGTAAAGAGTTTCAGTGTATGTTTGTATACACATAATATGTATATATTATGACAGGAAACTACAACTCCCATTGCCTCAGTTAGGTTGTTCTCTATAGTATCTTCTTTGGTAGGTAACATAGGCTAATATTAAACTTTTTTTGGAACCAGGGATTGAATTTGGGTCCTTGCCCTTGCGCACCAGGCGGCAAAACCACTGAGCTAAATTCCCGGCCCACTTAAGACCTATTTTGATTACAAGTTCTTCTTCTTTTTTTTTTTTGGTACCGGGGATTGAGCTCAGGAACTTGCACTTGCAAGGCAGACGTGGTGCCACTGAGCTAAATCCCCTGCCCCATGATTATAAGTTCTTGAAGCAAATCTTTTTTTCCTATTTCTAGTGTTGGGGATTGAGTCTAGGGCCTTATACATGCTAGAGAAGTGCTTTATTAGCACAGAGATACATCCCCAGTTCTTTTCATTTGAATCATGATCTTGCTAAATTGCCCAGGCTGGCCTCAAACTCGAGACCCTCCTGCTTTAGCCTCATGGGTAGCTGGGATTACAGGCATGTACTACTAAGGTTGCCTGAAGCCAAATCTTTTATATGAAATACTGACTATGAAATGTTTTTCCAACATTTATGTGAAGATTGATGATAATCTTATTTCACTTCTAAAATGAGTTCTAGAGTACAGAGTTTTTGCCGGGCATTTGAAAGCATTCTATTCTAGTGCTAAATAGACAGTTCAGAGTTACACATAGTAATGATTGCAAATCAAAGCATATTTCTCTGTTTCCTCTTCTATTTTTACCCTGTTCAAGGTAATGTAGGTATCCCATTAAAGCTTCATCTGTGTAAAAGAGCACGAACATTTTTATGTCTAACACAGAAACTGTTTATCTTCCTTGTCATATCATACATATTCTTATGTATACTTATATTAAAGCATACATATTCTTATATTCTTCTGCATGCTTTATATTGAAACAAAATAATTAGAATTGAGTTAAAAATAAGTTTTCAATTTGAAGGAATTATCAACAACTATACAATGGAGAAGGATTTCAGTATATATATATAACAATTTGCTCAGATTGTCCATTTTCTGTAACTGTAAAGTAAAATGAGCCCATAGAATTACTTAGATTTTAAGATTTGAATTTAATTCCTGTATGTATATTGAATACGTTTTTTGCTTTTTTGTTTCCCTATGAACAGTATTAGGAATTTATATACTAAAGATTTATTTTTTTGAATAAATAAATGTATCTTAAGATTTCTCATGTTGAAATGATACTTTCTATTAAATATCAGAAATTTTCATAGGCAAATACTTTTTCTTTCTTTATATTTGGCATTAACCTTAATATGCCATTGCTAGTCTTAACAGCGTGATGAAATAAGCAAATTTGAGATTCAGAAAAAATAAAACAAAACTGATTTCATTGTGGAATTTGAGGGAAGAGGGGTGATTGGTTATTTAAATATGAATTAGAACATATAAATGATAATAAGGCCTATTCAGACTGTGGCACTGGGAATGGAAAAGATAGAATGAATCTGAACCACTTTTTGGTGAGAAAATTTAGAGGATTTGTATCCTATTAGTCTTTTATTCCCTGGAATACAGTAAGAGAGATAATACACAGTAAGCATTTAATAATATTTAAAAAATGGAGATAGAATCAAATGAGGTGTGGGGTGAAAGAGAAAGTAATTGAAGATGGCTAGACGTTCTCTTTTGGATGAATGTATGTGAATACTATTAGCTGAAAAGAAGGATTAGAAGAATACTGGATTAGAGAAGAAGATGAAGAGAAGGCCTTTGATACAGTAAATGTAAGGAATTTGAAGAAATAAATATGTCTAGTAGTATTCGGGACATATAGCTTTGAATTTAGAAACAATTCTAGAAATGAGTAACTTGAGAGTCAAGGTAGGTAACTATGAAATTGTGACAGATATAGTCTGATGAGTCAAAGTTGCAAGTGGACCTTTACAAGATGATGACACACTGTCATCAACATGTTCTTCATCCTCACTAACACTTTCCGACTCTTGTTTTCTTTCCCATTTGTTAACACCTTTTTGTTTTGCTTCTTATTGAAATTGCAAGGTCCATGTTAGTTAATTCTGATTACTTGGTTAAGGTATGACTTGCCAGGTTTGTTCACTAATGTTATTTTTCCCTTGACGATTAATTGGGAATTTATGAGCAGATATGTTGAGACTATGTAAATACCTTGTTTTGCGTTACTCTTTTATCTATCAGTTTTAGTAAACTTCCTTTTTATTCTTATTTTGTATGATGTTATCTTTTTTTGTTAGAATACATAAACACATTTTTTAAAAACTCCACTTTTCAATGTCGACTGCTTTTAATTAATTTTGTTTTTAAATGTTCTGTATAAAATAGTTTTCATTGCAGAGATTATTAGTATTTTCTAATCATTTTTTTTTTTTTTACTCATCGTTTCAGTGTTACAACCCTTGCACCACTCAAAGGACAAAGTTCCTAATATTACATTCTACTGGTTGTTCCAAATAATGCCAATTTTAGTTTGCTTTATGTCTGGACAATAGTTTTCTAATCCAGATTTTGTTTTTTTGGAGTTTGTAATTCTATTTTTCCTTATTGAGGAAAAAAAAGAATTTTGTTTTTTTTTTAAATAAGGTAACCAGTAGTGTGTTGTTCCTTAGTTCTTATATCTATTTCTTGAGATATATCTCATTTGTATCGGAGGCACTGGAGTATACTGGTTAATTAAGTTATTAAGCCACAGCACATCTCTCATTTTAGATTTCTTATTTCCTAAGTTAGTTCTACATCTTCTTCTTTTTGAGTTTATATTCTGGTTTCTTTTGGAGAACATCTTAAAATAATTACCTGAGAACAGATGCCTAGGAAGTAAAATTTCCGAGTCTTTGCCTATTTGAAAGTGACTATGTTGACCTTATGTTTGGTTAATAATTAACTGAATGTGGAATTCTAGGTTATAAATAATTTTCTTTAACAACCATGGGTGCTAGAATTGGGAAGGGGAGGAAATATATGGGTCATCAAATTTATCTATATTGCCAGGTGTGGTGGCACGTACCTGTAATCTCAGCTTCTTGGGAGGTGGAGGCTAGAAGATTTCAAGTTCACGGGCAGCCTGGGCAACTTAATGAGGCTTTGTTTCTAATAAAACTTTTAAAAAGGTGGGGGGTGATTGGGGATGTAGCTCAGTGATAGAGTGCTTGCCTTCCATGTGCAAGGCCCTGGGTTTAATTCCCAATAGAGCAAATAAATAAATAAATAAGTAAATTTATATATGGTTTTATATTTTTAAACAAAGGAAAATATTTAAAGGTGTAAAAACTTAGCATTGATTTATCTGAGGTGAAAGGTAGAAGTCTGGTGTTAGTTTGACTTTTATCCTTTTTTTAAACATTTTTAATTGTTTACTTTTTTATTGACAAAAATTTACATATTCCTCTCTTTATCTTTCCAGTTTCAGTAATTTTATAATGTGGCTAGATATGGATCTTCTTTCTATCTCTTTGTTTGGTATTCAGCCTAAGAGAATTAAAAAATTATTTCCTTAATACTTTTCTCTCTTTCTTCCTCCCTTTCTTTCTTTCTAGAATTGGCTTTCTGCTCATCTGTATGTCTCTCTCTTTTTCTATCTTTTTCTTTTTTGTTATAAGTTCTGTGAGAATTTTTCAGTTTTGCCTTCTTTTCCTTCAATTGATTTAACAGTTTCAGCTCTCATATTTCTAATTCTCAAAAGATCTTTCTTTTCCCTTACCTTCTGTTCTTATCTCATGAAAAATGATTTTGTTCAATTCCTCTGAAGATAATTATATATAGGTAGTTATAAAAGCCCACTGACCCTTTAAACTTTCTGTTCATTTAGTTATGTCCAAAGTTGCATTTCTTTCCTTTTTTAAATAATTCATTCTTCATTCACTCATTCATTGAATACTTATAATTACCTACCATATAATAGACACTGTTTTAGGTAGTAGGAGTACAACAGTGAATAAAACCCAGATCCCTAAAATTATTTACCTTGAATTCTAGTGGTGGAGATATAAATAAGGTAAATGAATAGAAATCATAATATGTTAGATAGTGATAAGTGGTAAGGTGGAACAAAATATTGGGCAAAGACCTAAGGGAAATGAGACAGGAAATGTTGGCATTTAAGGCATAAGATTTCCAGGTTGCAATCTGTAACTACAAAGGTTTGATCTGAGTGAGGAAAAGCAAAGAGGCCCCAATGGCTATAGCTAAGTGAAGCACAGGGAGAGTAATCAAAGTGAGGTCATGAAGGAAACTGGGAGTAATACAAGATTTTAGAAGACACATGACAAGATGTATGATGATTTCAAGTTTGAGCCATGAGAAACTGGAAAAACAATTATCAACTGAGATGGAAAGGCTTGGGCATTGACTTAAGATTGAGAAGCTAGTGGAGGAGTAAGTTGGCAGTGTTTAATGTGAATTCAGTTAGACACATTAAACTAGAGATGCTGTATAGGACATTGGATATGCCAGTCAAGAGTTTGAAGAAGAGATATGAATTAAAAGGTTGTAAATTTTGTAGTCAACAATATATAGATGACATTTAAAGCTTGAAGATGTGAGATTGCTTAGGGAGGTGCATGGGTAGAATAGAGAAGTGATCTAAGAGCTGAGCCTTTGGGCATTCCAAGAGTTCAGGGAAGTCAGA